GAAACATTCGAAATTGATGCATATATTTCATAATAATTTCTTCTTCAATTAAATTTTTTTTGGTTCATTTAATTGTTTATCATGTTTAATAATTTTAACTGGTTTTATTTCTTCTAAACCAGCTTGTTCAACATCAATTCTTGACATTTGTTTCTTTTTTTTTAAGTAATGGATCACGAAATGTATTGATTTGTTCCGGTTCAATTGGTTGTTATGCTTTTAATAATAAATTTAATTTTTCAGCTAAATTTGTATTTGATAATGATGGATTATAAGTTATTTGAGTTGAACCACCACCTAAATCGAGTGCAGCTATTCAACTACCATAAAATTGTTCACCTCTTAAATAAACAAGTGTAAGCCAAGCATTAATACCTTCTTCTGTTTCATTCATTATTGCAATATCCATTTTTGGACGATAAAATCCATATTTTTTAAATGTATTTCAAACACCTTCTAATAAAAGTTTTTGTTTTGTTTCACTTAATAATCTTAAACCAGCAGTTGCACGTAATACTAATGGTGTACTTCGATGTTTAAATCGACTAATTTCTTGATCAGCTATTTTTAATAAATTATTTATTTGTTCTGCAGCTTTTGATATATCATTGGCAAATGATTATAAACCTGGTTTAAGTTCTTTAAATATTTCATTTTTTAAAACAAATGTATCACCATTTTCATTATCAACTGATGCATGCAAATTTATAAACATGTATACGTGTACTTGTTGAACCAGCATCTAATACTAATACATATGAATATGGATCAAGAAAACGTAATTATGGTGATAATGATAATGATGAATATAAAATAAATAAAAATGTAATAAAAATTAATATCAATAATAAATTTCGTATTGAATTAAAATTTTTTGACGATGGTTTACAACGATTAAATAATGGAATCATTTTTATTTCGAGTTTATTTTTTTTAATCTTTGACGAATTTCTTGCTCGGACAATGTTTGTTCTTCAAAATAAGCTGTTGTGGTAGTACTAGTGGCAATTGTAGACATTGAAGATATTCGGTTTTTTTTCTTCTTCTTTGCACTCGATTCAATTGAACCGATTATGAAACAATCTAATCATAAAATTTAAATGAAATTTTATTTTCATTATTGATTGAGTACTTACTCAAATAACAACAAAAAAACAACTCGTCATTGAGTGATTTGTTAATTAATTTAGCCAATAAATAATTAAAATAAAAGAGAATAGCGTCATCTATATAAAAAAAATACTTTTATTCATTTTATTGTGGTTTTCAACTAGGAAAAATTAATGAATATTGGTTTATTAGAAAAGATTTATGCATGGGAAGATAGCTCGAAGTTTGCTCTTTCAGAAACAATATGACTTTTAATTTAATATCTCATTTTTAGCCAGTATTTTTGATGATTTCGGTTGAAAAATATGCATTTTTTAGATAAAACGGAAGATGTTTTTCGTTTTCTCTCTGTCTATACATTTTTGATCGTCTGGCGAAGAATTCTCTGTCGGCGTCCATTCTATATATTTAATTTTTTTTTGTTTGAAAGAGCATGTTAAGATAGCGCGCACCACAGAATCACTTTTTTAAATTAAGCTTAATTTTTGTTATATATATAGACATAGACACCCATTTTTGGCGCGTTTTTGAGTCATTGAACTTGTGATCCGCTATCTCCGCTAACAAAGTAAGAATTTTAAAAAAAGAACTCTGAGGTGCCCTGCATCCAGAGATGCTCTTTCAAACAAAAACAAGAATTTAAATATATTGACAGAGCTTGAACCGAGAAATCTTGGAAGCAAAATGCGCTATTTTTTGACCCGTGTTTGGTTCATATCTCTGTCAAACATCATCGTATAGAGCTGAAAATTTTACCATAGCGTCCTCAGTACAGCCCCAGCAAAATCTGAAAATTTCAGGCTATTTCACTTTGACTTGAGGTGAAATTCGTTTTTTGAGGTGGAGGCCTTAATGAATATTGATCATGATAAACAATTAATTTGACAAAAACTTTTAACAGACAGTCGAATAGAATCGACTTCAACTATTCTATCGAAAAATGATTATGATGATTTTTGTAAAAGAAAATGAGATAATGAGTAAATAAATCAATCAGATATTAATTACTATAAATATGAGACGAAAAATTAATTAGCCCCATATTAATGCAAACAATTCTGGAAAAGTTAAATCTTGAAAATACTATCTCAATAATAGTAGAACAAAACCTTTTAAAGAAAGGATAAGATAAAAAGACAAGCATTTTATGCAGATAAAAATACCCATTTGAAAATCCTTCTACTACTAAGTAGTATTCATATATATATGGAAATGTATTTTTTCATTATATACAGAGTGATTCATAAAACAAAACTTTTTCTTTTTTAAAGCACTTTGTGGTGTTAACTAACAGAAGAAAAATAGTTTTGATTCTATTATATATCATATCATTAATATACAAACCATGACAACAATAGCTACAGATAAATTCACTCACATAGCAAAAAGACAAAAGAAGCCAAAGAAAGCCCATGCAGCAATAATATAACGTGCATATATATTTGAACATCGAAAGGTGTCTGTTACAGGTGGTTCTACTTGAATTTCATCTAACACAGGTTTTTTATATAATTTTTCTTCATTAGTTGAATTAATATCCACAACTGATTCATTTAAAGTATTTATTAAAATTGTTTCATGTTGTGAATCAAATGTTGTCAATGTTAAGAGTTGTTCATCATCATCATCAACAGTATTAGTGTTTGAATGAACACTTGAATGTCCTTCATACATTATATCTCACGTTTAATATACTACGTATATACTACATAAACTAAGAACAAATTCTTTTTTACAACTTTACAAACGATGTTTACTGCAATAATGTCAAAAACACTCAGGTACATATAAAACGATATGGTTTGCATTCTTTCATATTTATCTGACTGTTTATACTTTTATCTTTACATTATAGTCCTATTGCATATTGATTAGCTAGCATGACTAAGATAGATAGATAAGAGATCAACCATAACTAATGTCCAGGTAAAAGTCGTACTTTTTGACCCCTCTCTGTCCAGTTTCATCGACTCTTCTCCTTCTTTTCATTAAAAAAACAGTTCATATTGACCGGGATTTTATAAAAACATATTATCTAAATTAGAGTTACAACCGAAAATTTTTTTTTTCGTTCAAATTAATATGAAAATGGACAAACATCGAAAAATTACAGTTACATTTGTATGAAAACCTTTTGCTTGTTTTTTTTTCAGTTTTACTGACGACCAATTCCACAGTAAACATATTAATCCATGACCTTACTGTATCATATTGGGACACTAATGGTTCTACTTTTGTTTTTTGAGTTCATGTCTTGATGATGTCTATTGGTGCAAAAATTTCACAATTAAAATAGTTTTTTTATTCAACCGTTGACACATAATGTTTCAACGCGAAGAGAAAATAATCTAATGAATCAGTGTTAAATTTAAAGATTTCAGTATTCAAGTAGTCTTTGTCCCTCATTTTTTTTCTGGTGCCAATGAAGATGTCGGTAAATGGAGATGGCTCATAGATCACAAATTTTAATACAGATTCAATTCTTTTTTTGTACAATTATTAAAATGAATCACTTGTTTATTATCGAATAATCTTCTTATTTTTGAAACATAATTTTACTTATTTTTCGCTGCTTGCTCATTTATATATTAGTTTGAAATAAAAAGAAATATATTTTTCGGTTACAGCTTTAATCTGGATAAAAAATTTTTCATAATATCATTGTCACTGAATTAACTTTTAACTTTTTAATTAATGTAAAATAACTTCAGCAAATCTCCGTGTCGAAATAATAATTTCGACAATAAATGTTGTCAGTTTTAGCTTCAGCACGATATATATATATATCAAAAATAGAAATGAATCAACAAACAAAAGTCTAACCTAGTGTAAAGGCTTTGTCTTTTTAGATACATTGGATTTTAACGAGTAGCACAGTGTTCTATCGAGATTTTTATCTTTCAGAGGGACAATCTAAAACTACACGAGGGCGAATCTCTAATGTAAGGACACAGATACATAGTTTAATAACCACAAACTTTGAGAGGTCCAACCCGATCTTGGGAGAGGCATCACCTCTTCGGCCTTCACGCTGGATAAAATATTTGAACACAATATAAAAAACAAAAGACTAGCCTAAATAGCAATGGCACTCGAAAATCTCATATAACTGCTCCACAAAATAACTATCTGCTCATATAGCATAATCTTCAATTATTTCAACAACATATTCATTCAATTCAGTTACTATTTAAATGCTCCTCAAAATAAACTAAGCTTGAAAATATTCATAGTAAGTATCTGGACGTCCAGAAATGTTTATCCGCACTCCTTTCACTTTGGCATCCCTTATGCATGGTGCCCAAAAAAATTCTTGAATCTTAAATCTTTACAAAGTTCTACTGATGAAATTGTTATATCGAAAGTTTTCATCAACCTAGAAATCGTTGCTATCGAAAAAAATTTATTAGAATTTTATAAAATATTGTTTATTCATTAAGAAATTGATTTTGAAAATTTGATGCTTTCATTATATAATATATTTTTCCAAATATATATTTCTACGTGAGTTAAGTCAATTATTCATTACATTAAATTATCAAAGAAAAAAGATTGAATTGAAATTTTGATTATTAAACAGTAAGTTTCGAGTTCTTTTTATGAATAATATCGTTAAGAAAAACAATATTTTTTCCGTTTTAGATGTATTTTAATTCATACAACAAAAAATTTTCTTAACTGAAAAACAACATACGACTGATTTATTATTGTACGCTTAGAATTTTTCATATTTTATTATTTAATCAACATGTTTTGTTTTTTGTTTAATGTACTTGAATATTTTTCTAAACTTTGAAAATTCGATTCAGAGAAAAAAACAACAGATATGCTATATTAAAGAATACAATTATTGACACTTGAAAAAGTACTGTGGCTATAAAGCATATGACCTTCTTTACATGTATTCACTAAATTTTATAATCACATCAATAAAAACAAAAAAGCAAAAAAACTATTTCAATGTCATTACAAAAATATTTCCATGGTAAATTTCTTTATTTATTCCTATTGGTTAAATACCACCATTTTGATATTCTTTAGGTTTCTTAATAAATAAAATTATTTATAATAATTATTATTCATAAATAAAAAATTCTTTATATTTTTATTAAAAAAATAATTATTAATATCTTTCATCTAAATTTCCTACTTAAAATGCATACATGTGTCATATAGAGACTTTATCTTCTCTTTTACTGTTGCTTATGTAAGATAAAGAGCTTAAGCGTATTTTTTTTCTCTTCTTCAATATCGTTATTCGTGACATTTTAATCTAATCCATTATCTCATCAAATATCTTCAGGTATGAAATTATATTTATCATAATTATTTATTTTTTGTTACAGATCAATAAATTTTTATTGGTATTAAATAGGTAACGTACGTGAATTGTGTAAATGCGAGTGTATGCGTAAACAATAACAAAATAATAAGAAACTTATTATCATTCGAAACAAAAACAAAACGAAGAGAACATGATTGATTGGTTAACTATTTCAATTGCTTTAGTAATTATTACCACATTAATTGGTATATTTGGTATTGTTGCATGGAAAATTACTATGCCAGATCCATTAATGTCAATAAATTCAACTGGAAAAAAAAGATGATACAAATTCATTATTTGATGCAACAAATGAGAAGAAAAAAAAAGATAAATCAAATTATGAACAAACAAAAAAAAAAACGTAAAGAACAAAAAAAATTAAAACGTGATAATAAAGAAGAAGAAGATCATCAACGACATAAAGTTAAATTTCAAGAACCATTTGTACGAGAAAGTGAAGAAAGTGATAATGAAAGAGAAGAAAGTGAACAAGTAAATTATAATTTAGACAAAAAATAAAAATAATTGTTTCTTGATTTTTATCTTTTAGGAATCAGCAACACCACCACCACCACCAACTATTGAAACATCATCAAAAGCTCGTAAACGTAATAAAAATAAGACATCAACTCATGTCGAAGGTATTCTTATTAATAAAGGTGAAAAAAGTCCAGTTACAAATCAAGCTGCACCAATACCTCATCCATTATTAGCAACTACAATACCAAAAGATGAAGTTGAATTAGCTAAACAACATTTGAAAACTCATACAAAATCATCAAATAAACAAACAATACCTTCTCCTCCTGTACCAGTTAAAAAACCAACATCATCATCAACAAATGTTAATCAAGGAGTTCAAAAACAACAACAACAACAGGAACAACCATTTACTACTGTTGTTAATAGTCGACATAAAACTGTAACACCACCATCACAACAACAACAACAACAACAACAACAACAACAGCAACAACAACAAAATAAATCGGTTAATACAGCATCAACAACTGTATCTGCTCCTTCAACTCAACAACCAGCACCGGTTCAAGCTCAACATGAACAATTAGTTCAACGTCAACCAGCACCAGTTCAAACTCAACATGAGCAATTAGCTCAACGTCAACCAACTCGTCAACAACACCAACAACAAGAAACACCAACTCGTCAACAACAACAACACCAACAACAAGAAACACCAACTCAAATCAATGGTTTAAATACAAATCTATCGTCTATAAAACAACCAACTGTTGCTCCACCGATGAAACTTGCTGATCTTGTTAAAAGTAAGATGTCGGCTAAAAAAAGTTTTTTTGTTATAAGTTGAGGTTAAAAAAATCAGAAAAGGCTATCAAAATTGAAATACACTAGAAAATTTACGCATGCGTTTTGAAAAATATTGTTTGATTCTTGAAAACAGAGTTGTTGTTATTTTTCAGGAGTAAAAGGGGCTGAAAATTAAGGAGAAAGTGCTAAAAGCAGTGATTGCGAGGGGAGAGGAAAGACTCAGACTCTTCAAAACAGACGATCGGCTACCAGGTCATCCTTATTCACCTCACAACGACAATGTTTGCTCATTTTCACTTTCCATCGGAGACAGACAAATGATGTTTGAAAATCCGGTTCGACCTTGGGGGAAATCACAGATCAGATTATTCGCAAATAATAGTAGTATGATTTTCATTTGCTTTAAAACTTGAATTCTAATCACAAAAACCTCGCAATGCGAATCCGTTTTTATGGCTTTTTTTTCTATCATATTGAAAAAGATGATTTTTCTCATCAATATTGAATTCAGATAAATATTGAGACTTGATGCATATGGTATATCTCAATTTTTATAGGGTTTTCTAATGTTTTTATATCCAATCCTAACAAAAACAAAACTTTTTTGCTCAAATTTCGATTTCTCGGCACTTTAAAAAAATATTTTTTCTATTCATCTTATGTATCTATTACGTATTTCTTTTTTTAGCTCTTCCAACATCACAAACTGTTGTTACTGAACTTATGTTAGCACTTGATGCAGTTCCATTATCAACTGATGAACTTGATATAATTATGCATAAAATTGCTAATAAACAATCAGTTATCAATAAAGATTGGTCAAAAGTATTTAAACGAAAAAAGATTTCTTTTTAAATGTTCTTAATAAATACATTTTATCTAAATTTTAGTTACAACATGGTCAGAAAGTTGATCCACAAGCACATATTGGTCAAATTTTAGATGAATCAGCACGAGCATATGAAGAAGGTATTTATTTATAATTTTTTGATTATAAAATAAACACTAAAAAATTTAAAAAAACCGAAATCTTTATTTAAGATATGAAAAATAATGC